CGAGGTTGACTTTCAAAGTCAGACATCGAAGATCGATGATTGATTCGGATCATCGGATATTAGAAGAGATATACAGTGAAACCTCTCCATAGTGAACACCAACGAGACTGTCCAACACCCGTTCACTAAGGGGGGTGTTCATTATGTAGAGGTTTAGGGTCAGTTGAACTCTAACCCATGTAAAATGCATAGCTAGTGGGATAGGCTGATCTCTATTCATCATATCAGTTTAAATTCATGACATTTAAGGTAAAGTAATTAAGTATTTCTTCCATTGATAGAGATTTATTCAATTTTCCATAACATTCCATGTACTCGGCCTTGGGTTAACGATGACTGATACGCTCCCGATCGAGATTTTATACTTGTCGGCGAATGCACAGCGCAACGAGCTTTCTTCATGTTCGTAAATGAATTGTGCTTTCTTTTAGATACAGTGAATGTGTATGTATTTGCCATCATAAGATGTTAGATGTAAATTGCGCTATTCTGTTTTAATAGAGACACTAAAACTGGCGCGGACTATCGACCGTGGTTGTTTCCCTGTTCACTGAATACGACGGTCTCTCTTGTGATGAATAGACCGCTGCTACATTGTCTCAGAGGGGCACAGAATGCATATTTCGCTGTATTCTCTCTCTTGTTTCTCGTAAAAACGCCCATTTTGTTTCACATTTGTTCATTATATAGAGGTTTTCTCTGCTGAAAGGACCAGAAAAGGCGTTCAATGTTCAGAGTTGGGAGGTGTTCACTATATAGAGGTCTGTTTACTGCAAAAATTCGTCGGGGGGACCGGATTATGCGTTCAAATAGGAGGTGTTCACTTTATAGAGGTGTTCACTAAGGGAGGTTATACTGTACATACATACAAAAAAGAATATATCTATCCATAATAATCAATGGTCAATTCGCTTTATTCATATTTTCATCCTCACGCTCATCCTCATCCTCGGAAGGAATTTACAGTGACAAGTAAAAGATCAAACAATAAATATTACCTCGTCTCAATCTCTCCCATGGGCTAAGCATCAGGCATGAGATCGGTGCTATCGATAGGTAGGTCGATATAACGGAATCCAACAATATCTTCGACAAGCATATTGGGTTGCAAATATTCTCGAACGATCAACCGACCATGCATGTCTTTCGTGAAACCACTTCCATCATATAAGCGTAAGAGACCAAGTCGATGGTAGAGAAATCCTCGAGACTGTTCGAGTGTTCCTTCACATTCTGCATATCTTTCTTCCGACATGTAGCGCGGATCAGTTGAAACACGATCGACAGCCAATGCTCGCACATCAGTGTACGAGATTCCAGCAAGATACGATAATCGAGCGCGTGTCTCAATATCATCAAAGCTCATCTGTTTCAATGCATCCGCGTGTCGTTGTAGCTTTTTCGAAATAGTGGTCGGATAATGCTTATCGACTAGCGAGAACACGTTATCCCATGTGCCTGGAACACATTCATCTGATCTAGGAAAAAGACATAAACGAAAGCATTCACCATCTTTCAGCTTCCTTCGAATCCATTTATCTTCATAACCGAGTGAATGTAGCGCTTGCAGATTGGATTGAGTAAGAAATAGCATCAAACCATCGTCACCCATTACCCACGCAAATTTCTTCACCGGTGTACCCTTCTGTAAATATAGAAAATCTTCTCGTTTTGAACCATCGGTGACGTGTCCTGCTAACTGTCGTAGAAAGTGATGTGGTATTGAATCACTGATGACGTCGTCTTGATTTTTTCTTTCGAAAATATCCACAAAGGCTTGAATAGCAGCATCATTTTCTGACTCGATTCCACTTACGGGCATGGATGCATTCATTTGCGTAAGAAAACTGATTGTTGCAACAGATTTGAAATGTTGTCATGAGTTTTTTTTCTTCCATCGTAGAAGAGACACGACGCAAAAACAATAACGTGCACAAACCCTACTGACAAAATCGACCGTTCTTCGTGTGCACACAGAGATGTCAGAGACGAAAAGAAAGGAAAAAAGAAAACAAGAACGACCAAACAAAGATAGAAAAGAAGGAGAACGACGATACTATATAGTAGTGTGCAAAATTATAGACTCGAGCTGTACCTATGGAGTTTTTGACTCCATCAACGATGATCAGCAGTGCTTTCGAGAAACTCTTCCAAGGGTTTTGTAGGGCAGATCACCCTCTCTCAGAATCTGTATTTGATCCCTCTTCCTTGTTTATTGTGAGCGAGAAAAAAATATTTGATAAAAATTTCGGAGTTTCGCCTGTTCGAAATTATAGACTCAGACGACATCTTTTCGATTGGTTGCGTGTTTGATCAATTAGATTTGGCGGGAATTTCAGCAGCATGTTCACGCTTCCTATCGCTACTTTTGAGAATAACTCTTCCGCTTTCAACAATCACCCATTCCTGTTTTTCATCG